TGTTCTTTCCACATGATCTGTTGATTGCTTATTTGTTCCTGCACTTGCAGTTGCTAACCGTCTGACTGCTTCAGCACTCTTAAAACGGTAAAGTTTTTAAGGTGGAAAACTTGCTTGTTTCATCAATTTTTTTTATCTCCAAGCCCCAGTGGACTTTTCCCACTGTTGTTATTATCTTGTGGTATTTAAACAACAATGCCCAACACTGCTTACCATGTTGTATGTGCTGCAGAACCAACCACGACCAGGTATTGTTTGGGTTAGAGTGCTTCCACCAATCCTTCTTTTAGTACCAGGTTTAAGGGCCAATTTGGTTAACATCTTACTCTTTCCACAGGAACAGCGTTTATATTCAGTTAAAGTGGAGTAACCTGCCTTGATCCTGAGAATATAACGATGCCAGTTTTGGTTGGTGGATGAGTTTTCCACAGGAGATTCTCAGGCATAAATACTATCAGAGTCCTTCCACATGGAGAGGACTCTGATGGCACCTACATCCTTTTCTGAGACGGGCTCAATGTCATCTCTTGAAAGTAATGGAGACCTTCGAATGTGAGTCAAGTACTTTTATTAGTGAGCCCAAGAGAAGTATCAAAACCACTCTGGTCCCTTGGAGGAAAATCTGGATGTCTGCAGCCCTGAACTCTCCTGCAGATTGACTCTTCACCCACACATCCATGTCAAGCCACCCTGCACCTCTGGCCCAGGCACCTTGGTAGACCAAGCTGGCGAAATTGGAAATTTGCAGAACAGAAGGATGACATGGTCAACTGTGGAGAGATCCGAACTACAATGAGTTAATTGATGTTTCGTTAGGGATGTACATTACTATGCAAAGACTACCGACTCTTGGTTTTCTTGAAAAGGAAGAAGTTGAAAGGTTATCAAGGTAGTCAGGAATATGGGTTTGAGGCATCAATCAGATGAACCATGAGCTTACTGAATGGCAGAGTAGCCTTGAGGGGCTGAATGGCCTACCCCTGCTCCTGATTTGCATGTTTCTGTGCAACTGACTAACCAAAGATATTGGGAAAGCTGGAAATGAAGTTGCAGAGCATTTACACATTCAGGTTCACCATATCTTGAATCAGTACTTAACAGCAGAGGAAACAACTACCACTGTTTAGATTTGGGTGCCATAACCCACAGTCGGTAATTTCAGATTTTTATTTCAGAGCCATTTAAGTTGCGTCTGAACCCAATCAATTTTCCTACCAAGATTCAATACATAGGTTGTACATAATGATAGAGGTTGACATTAAAAGCATGAGGGCACATGCCGAGCTATTCTATGACCATGAAACATTACCGATCTTGTGCTATTTTCAGTAACATACAGGTTCATTTGGGAATTGAGAGCTTTATTTGCTTTTCTTTGTTTTGCTTTTTGACAGTAAAAATAACTCACAGAGAGCAAGGAATGCTATGTTCCTAAACATGACTAATGTATTTAGAATGGAGAAGTTATTACAAAATAATTTGATCTGCCCCGAATTAGGTTTTATTTCATTCTATATTACCAAGAGGTGATATAGCTCAAGTCGATTCTATTTAAAGAGTCATGAAAATCACATCACTGTCATTTGTGTATGGCACATTGTCAAAATGATGCATAGCCTCTTTGAACTGTTCTCCCACGGTGAATAAAACAGTGCATTAAATTTGGTAGTGATCAGTGGTCCTCTAAAACAACACCAGAAGAGAAAGAAAAATTGAAGGAGTGTGGACATTGTCTTCTTATTTTAAAGGATAATAATTTAAATTAAAATATCTATGTGACTGAAAAAAAAAGCTGCCAACAAATTGTACTTTATGTCTGTCCTACTCACAACTATTAAATCTGTGGCAAAGATTTGGAATATTTGAGATTGAAGATCTTGTAAATGCTTCTCATAAGACTGGGATTTTTGTTTTCTTTAGGTCAAAATCTTCTGTTGAGTTATATATCCAATGACTGGATGAGCTCAATTATCTCTAGGCAATAATTGAGGTCAGCAGGAAGCAGGCAGGGTCCAGGAACCTATTCTTCGAATAGTGGACATTAGCAATCTGTGAACGATCAGGCTAACTCCCAGCTGCTGCTGAAAGCCCTTTGTTATAATTTTCTGCCTCACAAAGCTGTTAATCCAGGCTGATGGCCCTGTCATCCCTTTCTTTCTAGGACCACGTGTGCAATAAAGTTACTGAAGCCAGTCTGTTCTGCTAAAGGTCTTTCAAAACAAGTACATAAAGATACTTGGTTCCAGATAAGCATTTTCAAATGTTATGCTGTGATTTGCTGTGGTTTAAACCCTTTTTGTATTAGCTTTTTACTCTGAGAACAAAGTGAAACCATTTTATATTTAGTTTGTTCGGGCAGACATCAAAAATCTGTCATGTACAGATGGTGAAATTTGCCACAATGATCATGAAGAAAAGATAAATACATCTGTCTTACTGGGTTCAGTAAAAGGAGGATGCTAATAAACCTGTATCAAAGTCACAATGTAACACTTTTTCAACCTATTAGTTCATTTATTTTTACTGTTGAACAAGTAGGCTCCTTGATAAAAGTATAAAGTTATTACTGACAGAATTGCCAGCAGCTTTCCTCAGCAAGCTGCTAAATCGGATTTGCAGCCCTGCTTGTCTCTCCCCAGGTTAAAACAAGGGAAAGGAGAATCTACAATGAAATATACCGAGTTGATGTATAAACCCACCTGTTCATGAGAACATAAGAGATAGAAGCAGAAATAAGCTATTCAGCCCCTCAAGCTTACTATGTTTCAATAACTTCTTCTCATTCATCTAAACTTAAATGAGTATGGTTCCAAACTACTCAATTTTAGACATGAGACCAACCCCACATCCAAGGAATCAGCCACATCCAGTGAATCTTAGTGAAACTACTATCAATATAAGTATCATGTCTTGTTTGTTTATTGTGTGAATATTTGCTACTGCACTGTGATCGGCTGCCTAATTAAAACAATGTGTTAAAATTTTTGAAGGCAGTGAACTGCTGTATTTGATCTAGATTTCACAATAGAAAATCACTTGTGTTTATTCTGTAACAGAATACATTAATATCTTGTGGCAGATCATTTGGCAATATGTTTGATCATCTCACAGTTTGATTTGATGGTTCGAATTGTCTGAGTGAAGATCATATTATCTATTAATTGCAGAATCATAGAATCATAGCAGTATATAAGGAGCCCATTTAACTTATAGTGTCCATGTCAGCTTTCTGAAAGAGCATGCCAGCCACTTTGACTCTCCCACATATTTCATGTAGTCCTGTAAATTTTCTCCATTCACATAATTATCCAATTATCTTTTGAAAGCTAGGACGGAGTCTGGCTCCACCAAACTCTTCGGTAGTGCATTCCGGATCTTAAATGCTTGTTGCATGAAAAAAGCTTTTCCTTATATCATTATTTTTTTTGTCATTCAGCTTAAATCAGTGTTGCCTAGTTCTCAATCCTTCCACCAGCAGGAGCAATTTCTCTGTATACTGAGTCTGGACCCCTCATAATTTTGAGCACTTCTTTCAAATCTTCTCTCAACCATACCTTCTCTGAAGAGAACAGCCCCATTTTCTCCAGTCTATTCACATAACTATAGATCCCTCATCCCTTCAACCATTCTCATTAATCTTTCCTGGACCCTTTCCAATGCCTCCTAAATTGTGGTGCCCAGAATTGAACACAAGTTCAACATAACTTGCTTGTTTTTGTTCTGTTTGTACGCTTCTCTTATAAAGCCTAGGATCCTGTGAATCTTCGTCATTAATTTCTCAACCTATTGTCTCACTTTCAGTGATCCGTATACATCTAATTCAAGGCCCCTCTGCTTCTGCATCATCTTTAGAATTGTTTCCTTTGTTTATATTGCCTCCCCTAACAAAAGGCATGACTTCGCATTTTTCTACATTACATTTGTCACATTGCTGCCTATTCCATCAGCTGCCCAACATCCTCTGGAACTCTGTCAATACTCTTGACACAATTCAAATGCTTACTAGTCTTGTGTCATCCATAAATTTTGAAAAAAACACCTGCATACCAAAGTCATGGTTAGTAGTACAAATTATGAAAAGCAGTGTCCCCAATATTGACCTCAGTGGGCAATGGGTTCCCAATACTGACCTCAGTGGGCAACGTGTTCCCAATACTGACCT